AGGTGGAAATTGAGTCCTTCCAACGGTTACAGTGCTATATTGGACCCAGTTTCAAAGCACATACCAAAAAGTTCTATTCTTGCCCATCATGTCGTGACAAAGATTAGGTGAGAGTAGTCGTGATTAATCCTACAGTAAATACAGGCAAAAGTTCACTTGTTTAGATAATTCGAGTTAGTTTATGCTCTTATCCCCTCTAATTACCTCATCTAGAGTTTAGTGAGAGGCTTTCAAACCTCTGCAAGGAGGCAGAAAGTTGTTACATGTATTTATTTTAACTTGTATTTAACAGTGAACAAATTTTTGGGTAGAGCTTAGCATCACCCGGAACAAGTGAACTCTTATCTGAACATTAACATATACTAGTTCTACAAAATGATCTGTTTTGCAGATGGCGTCCCCAGGAAGGCGAGGATTCTACGGGAACTCGAATTCTAAATCCAACAGCGTCATAGAAGTACAATGTGAAACGGAAAACGATTACCGCGAGCACGTGGTATGTACGTTACCACTGGGCGTTCTGAAAGGACATCTTCGGAATTATTCGAGCCTTCGTTGCCGGCGTATAAGTCGAGGCGATAAACAGATTAATGTTCGGTACAGTGAACAAGATATTCCTCGAGTACGAACGACCCTTTCTGAATCCCGGTGTCTCGGAGGTGATGCTCCTCTGGGACGACGAGCGTCTGCCCGAAGCAGAGAGGCGGGACGTCAGCAAGACCTGGTTCCGGAAAATATACTCGTTCATCAAGATCTCGGATACCCTGCTACTGGGCTGGATATCCGGTCGGGCTGCGGAGTCATGGAGAAGCTAAGCGCCGTGGGTTGCCGAGGTGTGCACGACGATTCTGCGGAGATTCCTCAACGATCCCTTCGTACCGCTCCGAAAAGCTGTCTGCGCACTACGTGGCACTCGCAGCCCTACCAGGGGTTCCTACACTGCGATGGCCGTCGGCGCGAGTCAGCTGGACATCCGGAGTCTGGCCCAGCCGTTGATCCAGGAGAGGACTGAGACGGAGGACGGGAGGGCTAAGTTCTGGTGGCCTTCGCAGGCGAACACACTCATTCCTCGTTCTACAGCACCGTGCACGGGGCGTACTTGACGGGTCGAACGGCGGCCGAGTTGCTACTGGGGGTGAAGCAAAGCGAGAAACACGCGCTGAGCCTCAGCTGCGAGGACACTAGTGATCTTAGCTCGTGGATACAAGGCATCTCTCTGAATTAAGGCATGATTTCTCTTGTTCCGAGAAAGAGATGTATTTAGCGGCTATATATATGCGTTACGTTCGAAATTATTATTATATCATTTTGTAAATATTATAGTGCGAATTATCATTGTCTCTATACACATTTTATGTACATAATGGTGCTTTTAAAGTTTTAAGACCGCGAAATACGGATAAGGTGTGCATTTATCGTATTATGCATACCGTGCCATAAATGAACGAATAACGCAATAGGCATAAAACTGAGATAGGATAAAGAAATTCACATGACATCGATGTCATCGTGAATGAGATCGACGTAGTATGCGTGTATGTATGTGTTATCAGGGTTGAGAAAGTTATTTTTTTAAATATCTAATTATATAGTTACAATTTGGTATTTTTGAGTTATTATAACTGTAACTTGTTATTTTTCAGAGGTAACTTTTTTGCAATGACTATATTATTTTAAATATAATAGTCTTATATATATTTCAATCTGTACTAAACTATATGTATATTTGATTATGTGCTATATTATTTTATATGTATATTACAACTGTTTGACAATTAAAAATGAAAATATATTTAATATATTAAATTAATAATATATTTAATACATATATATTAAATATATATTAAATTAATAATTTGTAATAAATTACTTTTTCAAAAATTAATATTATTTACTTAGAATAAAAATTATGGGAGTCAGATATTTCAGTTAAAAAATTCATAAAATTTCAAACAATCAATTTAACTTTCTGAAAAATTGTTAGCCCTAAGTTTTAAATAAACTAATTATTAAAAAATAACTATTAAATTAGTTACTAGTTACCAAAAAAGTATAAGTTACAATTATAGATAAAGAAAATGAGAGAAGTTAAGTTATAATTATCAAAAAAATTTAATTGTAACCAACTTTGTTACAACTAACGAGTTACTTTCTCAATCCTGTGTGTTATAAGTGCATTTGGCACGAATATTGTTTCGAGAACGCGAGAAATATGTATATCTTAAATTTAACTACACAAATGTTCTTAGGTGTTCATGCAAATATTTATTTTATAAAAGTTGCGCAAATTAAAGCTCCTGAGTCCTTGCCGCGGTCATGTTAGATTGTGACGTCAGGGGCGAGAAAGCACACGCTGAAAATTTTTAGATCATAATTTAAATAAAAATATATTTTGATGACGTTATTTCAGGCTAGTAATTTTTAAAATACTTCGAAAACTGTTTTTTCTCTTGACAGTCAATTGACAACCGTAAAATGATCGTGATAGACTTTATCATGTGGACTGAGCTTCATATTACAATCATTTTACAGCTGTTGATTGATCATAAAGGGAAAGGATACTTTTCGAGGTATTTTAAGAGTGTGCTAACTACTTGAAATACTGTTTCATTGAAATATCTTTTTATTTGGTGTTTAATGGCATCTAAAAATTTTTAGCATGCATTTTCTCGCACTCTGACGTCACAAATCCAACATGATCGGCCAAGAGCTTTAATATAATGTTTTTGCTAAACTCGTGTAGATAATATACATATATGATAATATATATCGAATTTACATGGACGAGCCTAATTCTATTTGCACGAAACATAACGATATTTTTAATGATTATGTATGTATGTATAAAATAGTAATGAGATTTATAAGAAGTCGGAAAGCGTATATCGTATTTTATATTCTTAATTTTTCTTGTAAACGTTTACTATTGAATGTGAATTATTCGTTTGCTTGACTTCTTTCTTGTCACACATCGTATTTATTGTTTAGTAAAAAAAATGTCGTCGGGCATTAACTTAATCTAGTCAATTTGAAAAATATACAAGGGCGATGTACGTATTTGATAAGTAATGACGGATATTCTTTGACTAAATTGATAATAACAAAATCAGGATAATGTCGTGTATCGAAATTGAAATGATTTGTAGAAAGTAGAATAAGTCTACTTGCTCTATATTATTTTTTGTCACCAAAGTATTATATTAGCAGATGTATGTGTCATCGGATTAGTATTAACTCTTGAAATACTAAATGAGTGGAAAGGATAGATAATGTTTATTTGAAATTACGAGAGTTATTATAATACATATGTAAGTCCAGAGAACTTATAAGAATAGAAGTAATTGTTTATTAACGAATGCTGCACTTCACATTAAAAAGAATATTAATGTGGATTAAATGACTTGATTATTTGAGTTTAAAAAAAATAAATAAAAGCACACTTTCAGAATGCGAGAAGAAACAAAATAATCTAACAGAAGAAATTCCTATTTATTTTATAAAAATGTCGAGGAAATTAATATATGTCAAAAATAATATATGTGAAAAATATCAAGTTCTGTAAAAAAGTCATATTTCTGCTCTTCTTTTTTTAATCGCAAAAAACTTTCTTGCTAGAAAAAATGTTAAATATTGTGTTAAGATAATATATTGTTAACAAAAAATTTTAAAGATATAATATGTATTTGAGTAAAAATTTTGAGAAGAAAAAAGGAGAAGATAATTTCACAATATATCTTCTATAATATTCAATGAAAATAATTCAGTGTATAATTAAGAGTTGATATTTTAAATGTATCTTTTCACATCTTATTAATGCAGCGATAAAAATTATACAATCAAGTCTTGTTTTATATATATTGTCTCAATAATTATTATTTTGCAAAAAAAACATTTAAAAGATAACATCGATTTTATTTAATTTTTATGATAATAAATAATATAAATATTAATATTTATATATAATATGATAATAAATAATTTATATATAATATGATAATAAATATTAATATAAATATTAATATATTCACAATATTACTTTTGATATTTAAAATATATTTAATATAAATTATATTGCATGTAATATTCATATTATATCACAGAAGGCTTTATTTTAGAAAATATGTTTAAATATAAAATATAATAAAAATATATAAAAAATATCGCATTTTAGAAAACAATATATATGATACTTTTACTGTCCTTTCTGTATTGCCTCTTCACATAGATACATACATCTACATATCTACCATATGATATCGCAGGTTCAAAGTCGCAAAAGTGTCAATCGTGACGTATAATAATCGTGCCTAATAGTGATGGGCGATGTTAAAAAAAAGCATCGATTCGGAAATAATCGATGCAAAATAAAATCGATATTTTGCCAAATAAATCGATTTTAATCGATTTTTTTTATCGGGACAATGCGCGCCTAATTTAAATAGCTGCAACTAAAAGGAGAAAAAAATCGGCTAAAAATTAATAAAAAATTAAGTAAAGTATTATTTTGCTTTTATTAATATTCCTATTTTTTATTATTTTACTTCTTATTTATGTATATACAAAATAAGCATGGAATATTGATGTTCCTGGTAATGGTTTGAATGCTGTATGATTTATAATTTTATCTTGTTTCTCTTATTCCAGAATTGTATCTGCCTCCTTCAAATACATATCTATACAAAGAAAATATTTATTAGTTCTATGTTCATAAAAAAGTTAACCGAATAAAAATAGTACAATAAGAGTAAAGGTAGAAGCTGAGAAACAGGTTATAATTTTTAAAAACCCAAGAAATTTGATATATTATGCTATATTATTAATTCCTGTAAACATATTACACATCTTGTACATAATTTTATGTACAGTAAGAACACATGCTTCTTATTTCGCGAAGTGAAGGAAACATCGATGTTATTTTTAATAATCGATTGTTACTCGATGTATCGATCAGCAAAAACATCGATTAAAATAATCGATGTTGTAATAAAAAGCATCGATTTTCTAAGCATCGAGTGAACATTGCCCACCACTAGACTGCCTAATCATTCTGCCTCATTTTCTACGATGCTACGTACCGCATTAAATCAAAGTGCCCGAAAATTCGGCACTAACGTCTCTTCTTCGGTAAAATGCAACACCGATTAGAAGGAAAAGTCGCGATTGTGACAGCGTCTACAGAAGGGTAAATATAAAAAAATCATATATATATATATATATATATTTATTTATTTATAATTCAAGCAAACAATTCTGCACAATACAGTCAATGTTGTTCAAGAAAGCTCTGATATTTTTTATTTTTCTTATTTCTTTCTCTGCAAAATAGTTACCAATATTCTGAATTTCCTTGCTTAGGTTACCTTGCTTCTTCTTAATTTCCACAGGATAGGATTTTCTATAGCGAGACGTTTGGCACAGGAAGGTGCTAAAGTGATGATCAGCAGCCGTAAAGAAGCAAATGTGAAAAAAGCTGTAGAGGAACTTCTGTCCGAGGGATTGCAAGTTGCAGGCACCGTCTGTCATGTGGGAAAGGCAGAAGATAGGAAAAATTTATTTGAAAAAGTAAATGTTATCTTTTTTCTTCCAATGTAGAGTAAAAAGATAAATTTTGAATTAGCACAGCCAGTTCAGCTGAAAAGAACAGATCTAAACATGAACTAGAGATTAAAAAAAAGAGTCACATATTTTGAGAGCAGATAGTATTGATCAAAACACGAAAAAAAAAATCTAATTAATATGAGTCCTATAATTAATATCTTCAAAGATATTAAACTAAACAAAAGAGTATCTACTAGTTGCTATATTATAACATTGGATTATAATAACTGGGGTTTTTGGGTATTGTAATACATTTTTTCCAATTATTATTGGTAGATTATTTTATTTTCTAAATATAATTGTGTATTAGTATATATATATCAATAATTCAGATAAATTGTGAAAAATTGCAGACCAAATCAAATTTTGGAGGTCTGGACATTCTGGTATCTAATGCAGCTGTTAACCCAGCAGTTGGTCCCGTATTAGATAGCACCGAGGAAATATGGGACAAAATTTTTGACATCAATGTCAAGTCTACATTCCTGCTTATGAAAGAGTCTCTGCCGCTTCTCAAATGCAGTGAATCACCTTCTATTATTATTGTATCTTCAATCGCTGGATATCAGCCTTTTGGTGTGAGTTTATTTAAAGTTTGTTTCTATTTTTATATAAAATCCTTATTTAGACTAAAAGAAATTTTATAATAAAAAAATATATCTTATTAGAAAGAAAAATTATATTAATCTTTTCTTTAGTTGCTAGGTGTATATTCAATTAGCAAGACTGCTTTACTGAGCCTAACTAAAACTACTGCGGAGGAGCTTGCAATTGAAGGAATTCGTGTAAACTGTATTGCACCAGGAATAATAAAGACCAAGTTTTCACAACCGGTATTTTTCCATAATTTTTATTGTTTTGTGGAAAAATAATCTCTTATACATAAATTTATTATGATTTCAGTTATACGAATCAGAGGAAGCCTACAATGAAGCAATATCACGTATTAATATGAGAAGACTGGGAACATCAAATGAGATTGGAAGTGTCGCTGCATTTCTAGCAAGTAGCGATGCTTCTTACATTACCGGTGAAACTATAGTAGCATCTGGTGGTATGCATGCAAGACTCTAAAATTTATTTACAATAATATTACATTTTTATACATTTTTTTACATTAATATCTCTAGCTTTGTACAATAATGCTAACAGAGAAAATGTTTTATTTTTATTCTTAAATCTTTTATTTTTGTATGTATATATGTATAAATATGATGGTTGAGTTTTTTTTATAAAATTATAATTGTTATACATATGAAGTTATATTATCTTGATATATAAGATATATATTGTACAATTGAAGAAAATGTAAATAATTGAGAAGAAGAAAATTAGTCATATTAAATATGTAGTTTATGATAAATTGGATTAAAACTCTCGCTTTCTCGTCAAACGTCAAAAGTTAAATATATTTTGTATATACAGTGTTTGCTGTTATTTAAATAAAGTTATATAGATGATCATCTATATGAAATTTTAGCATTATCTTATCTTTGTATAGATAATAAAAAATATATATTATATCTATATCTGCATCTTAGAGGAAAAAAGTGTTATTTTTACCACTGACGAGATACTGTAATATTCAGGTAATTTTTTATTTAGAGTACGTAACATATAAAAATATTTAAATATTTTTAGTAAGTGCTAAAAACTTAGAAATAAAAATATAAATATAGTTTTATATTGCTTTATAATTTATATTTTTTATATTTGTGTTTATATACATATAAGTGGTCTTAAAAAATATCTGGAAGTTATCTAGATGAATCGTCATATATATAATTTTATCTTATCGTAAAAACTAAAAATTATTTTATCTTATCTAAGATGAATTTACATATTTTTATCTTCATCTTTATCTTTTTTAAGCACACACAATACACTATAATTTTAAATACAAAAAATGTAAAAAAAAATTCTTCGCGCCTTTTCCCACGTTATATCAATCTTATGATGTCACAGGGCGATATATAGGGTGCGTTCCGTTATGCACTGCAAGTACTGGCACTATGACGTCATGCAAGTGTACTGTTGACAGCGTTCCTTTTTAATTTTGTGCACTTTGAAGCTACTGCAAAATAGTAAAACGGAACGCACTACAGTACGCTTTCAGCAGACTTTTAACTAACCTTTTTCGCTAATAATCATCGAGTGAAAAATTGGTGAAATGGATAATACCATTATTGCATTAATTACATATAATTTAATCGAGAATATATATGATTCGAGTGAGTCATCAAGTGAAAGCGATTTGGAAATGGAATTAATAAATGAAATGAGACGACAAATTAAAATACCTAGAATAAAATGTAAAAATTACGTTAAAAATATTGTATCATTATATTCAGATATGGAATTTAAAAGTTAGTTCCATCGTACACATGGAGGTAGCCATCTTGATTACTGCGAGTGCTTTACCTCGCCGGTTGCAGTAATCGCAACAGGAAATAACGTCAAAATTAATGACGTCATATACTCATGATAGTACTTTCGCAGTGCACTGCTATCTATATCGGAACGCTATTGGTAGTACTGTCAGTACTTGCAGTGCATAACGGAACGCACCCCGAGTCTTCTCCGTACCTCTTGGAAACACAAATATAAATACAAAAGTTTCACGACGCTCGTTTACAAACGAATTATATCTGTCATCTCCCGAGACCTTTTTGTAAATATTATAAATTATATTATATTATTATTTTCATTATTATTATTATAATTATTCCGAGACGACGATCCACGCAGCGTCAAATGCTCGCGCGTGACGTCAATCGTCAAACATCAAACGTCAAACGCTCGCGTTGACGCGCGCCTACGTCACATGACGTATGAAATCGTCATCATCGCGTTCGAATCGATTCGTTCGCGATTCGAGCTCTCGATATACATATTTGACACCGTTAGACAGAGGGCGCCACGTGGCGCTCTCTCTCTCTCTCGCTTCGCTTTTATTTACCACACGCACGATACACATAACACACACATACGAAAGTAGGGATACGCTCTCGCTCGCGTAGCTGTAAACATGGCCGTCATCGTGCTTTGTGATGACGATTATCCGCGTGAGTTTGTCGCACGGTCGTGTTGCGTCGCGTGCGATCGCAAATAATATGGACACGCGTGGCACCGTCAGTCCCGGGGACCCAGGTAAGGACGAAGGCAGACGCCGAGGTGCGTCCCCCTCCTCCACCCTTCACCACCCTCCCACCACGGATTTTCGTTCGCTGCTCGTGCAGCGATGGCGATGTGTTTTGTGTGCAATTTGTTATTAGCGTTGCTCCGATTTTTTTCACCATCGCATGCGTCTTGTGATCCTTTTTCCGCTCCTTTCCTCGTCGCGGACGCGAAGGTGAGCGAACCTGTGCAGTTCTTTCTCCCATGTCTACGTCATGCATCGACTTGACATAACGCGCCCTTTATTTTGGATCTTGCAGTCAGCTTTGACATGTATGTCAAAAACGAAGAGAGTCTGTATATATACATATATATATTTTTTTTTTATTATTTTATTCGAGTAAATTAATTCTCGCAGAAAGATCTCTACCTCTTCTCTTCTCTGTCCTGGTTCCGGATGGTGATATCTCTTTCGCGGAAATCTGTTGCCATGCGATGCATTATCAATATGTCAATCTCTCTCTCCGCTCTCCAGCGCTCGATCTTAATTTAAAGACCTGTTTTTTTTTACGCACTCGAAATATTAAAAAAAAAAACATGTCGCGCTAATTATTTTAATTACGCGTTCAAGTTTGTTTTAGTGCATTTTTTTTATTTACATTTTTTCCTGTTTTTTTAAAAATATGCTCTGATTCAACCAAGATTTTTGCTCGAAATAAATTTGTGTTTACTCGAATATTTTTGAAAAATAAAAATAAAAATTTAATAATAATAAAACTTTTATATATATCATTTGTCATAATTAATGATAAAATTATAATTATGATTATTATTTATACTTTAATTTGGTATATTATATATAGACATGGATGTAGGAATACTTCCTATGTCCATGTATATAGATTACTTGTTTTTGTATTTAGTATTGTAAAATGACATTTTGATATTTAATGACATTAGTTTGCTACTGAAGAATTTTGATTTACTTTGATATATGTATATACATTTATATAATATATATATTTATAATATATTTAAAATATATATTTATAATATATTAAAATATATATTTACGATATATTTAAAATAAATATTTATAATATATATTTAAAATTATATTGAAATTTAATATTTGTTCAATTATATGTTAACATGGAATTATTGCCAATAGATTGCCATTGACTTATTTTAGACTGTTGTCTGGGTGAGCAATGAATGTACTTCGCATCCTGACACCGTGTGTGTTGCAACGCAGACGCATAAGAAGTATAGATAGTACGGATAAAAGGGATTCCTGGTATATGAGAAGACAGCGTGGAGATGCCTCTCACATGACACATAGAATGGGTGCTTCTGCATCATCAAGCATCACCAACGTAGGTGGAGATCCAGTCCAAGCAGCCAGACTTTCAGCATCGAGTAGTCCGGAGCAACATGGCATTGCAGTTAGGTACATTATCAATGTTTTATATAATTCACTGCTATTGCTCTTTAACTCTTTACAAATAACAGAAATATTTTATTCTGCTTACATTTTATAATATATGCTACATTATTTTAATCAATGATTGCCCTATATATAAATAGATTTGAAATAAAAAATGTAAAGTTTATATATTTAAATACGTGCTTTAGAATATTATATTTCAATGTAAGAGAATGATTTAAAGCTGAAAGTGACAAATGTGATTGCACATCAAACTTCCTATAGTTGTTTATTCATGTACAGAGAGAAAAAGAAGAAGATGACAGGATTTGCAACACTGCGCAAGAAATTTATCAGGAGACGCCGCTCCTCAAAAGCGTGCGATCATGGTAGAATTATTAGAGATCTGGTGTCCACGTGGAGTCACTTGGAAGCAACGGCTCTGCTCGAAGAGTACGAGGCGTTGGCCGCGTTGAAAGATCTTCATGTTCAAGCTGAATTGGCCAGACCGCCAGCCGCCACTTTCAAACAAGACCTGTCAATGTTATATGATTACAAACATTGTTCCGATGTGGATCTTGTATATAGGGGAGCGTGCTTTCCCGTTCACAGAGCCGTGCTTTCTGCCAGATGCCCGTATTTTAGGGATCTTCTGGCTGGTTGCCCCGGTATATATACATTTATTAATTTAATTTACAATTTAATAGTATATCTATCGTTTTTTGTCTTATGTGAAATCAATTTTAGTTAAATCAGTTGATTTTTTTCTGATATGTTGTAGCTTATGACTTGCTGAACAAGGGATTCAAGACTCAAGGAACTTAGAGCTAAATAATGGACAATTATTGAGTTACAGCCAGTCAAACAGCTCGCAAGGTCTGAGTTCTTTATGTTTGACTGATTGTAAATCAATAACTGTCTATTATTTAGCTTTGTGCCTGTTACATTTTTTGTTCAGTAGGTCATACGCTACAATATATGAGAAAACCAACTGATTTTATCAGGATTCAATTTCATGTAGGATTTCACATAATTAAAAAATTACGCCCTAATCTTACAGGATGTCCCATAGGAAAATGCTGAAACTAATTAACTGTTATTTTCTAATGCATCCAATTATTGAGAAAACAAAAATTATGTTGAAAAGAGGAAAATATACAGTTTTTAATGGATTATTAGCACTTTTTTCATTACTTTTTATCAATAAAATAAACTAGTATACAAATATTTTATTTATATCCATTAAAAACTGCAGATTTTCTTTTTTTCAACATAATTTTTGTTTTCTCAATAACTACATGCGTTAAAAAAATGACAATAGATTAACAATTTCCTATGTGACACCCTGTATATAAAATCTAATTTTAAAATCTGTTAGTTTTTTCGTATGTTGTAGTTTTTGATTTGCTAAACAAAAAATGTAATAGGCTCAAAACTAAATAAGACGATTACTGATTTACAATACAATCAGTCAAACACGAAAAACTCAGATTCTGCAAGTTGTTTGACTTGCTATAGCTCAGTAATTGTCTATTATTTAATTGTGAGGCTCTTACATCTTTTGTTCAGCAGATCAAAAGTTACAACATATAAAAAAAGCAGTCAATTTCACCAAAATCCAATTTTCATAAGAATTATGAAGGGTCCTTTAATTGTAAAATTTAAAGTTCCTCAAGTTTTAAATAAATTCTTCCCTGCTATATAAAAAATAATATTGAAAATTGCAGGATACGGGGCAAGAATATGTTTGGAGCTGAGGACTCCGCATCTCGAGGTGCAGATGTTCTCGGCGTTGTTACGGTACCTTTATACCGGCGATATCTGTCCGCACGATGCGACGTTGGAGGCGAATCTGCTGCGGCGACTCGGCGAGGAGTTCGGAACACCGAATCCGTTGGAGCACGATCTCAGATATCTGCTGGACACCGGTGATTACGCGGACGCCGCCCTCGTCTTCACTTCGGACAACGATTATCAACGACCGGACAGCGGGAGTTCGGAGTACGGATTTCGTCCGAAATTAGAGCTGCCATGTCACAAAGCGATACTCTCCGCGAGATCTCCCTTCTTTCGAAATTTAATACAGAGACGGACCAGATCGGGCGAGGATCACACGGAAAGGGCGCTTCATATACCTACTAGAATAGTGTTGGACGAGAGTGTGATACCTAAACGGTACGCCAGGGTTCTGTTGCACGCCGTGTATCTCGACACCGTCGACTTGTCGCTAATATTGCGGGGAAGCGGCTGCGGAAACAGCGCTGGTAGTCTGGGAGAGGTGAAGATTTCGGTTATCAAGACGTCAAAGTATTCTGTACATCACTAATGTTCATGTGTAAACTTGCAGGTTCAAGCTCTGACACATACGGGCCGAATGCGACCGAGTCCTCTGGAAGAAGCGATGGAATTGTATCAGATCGGACGATTTCTCGAGCTTGATATACTGTCGCAAGGTTGCGAGGATCTTATTTTGGAGTATCTCACCCTGGAATCGCTTCCGGCTGTTCTCAAGTAAGTTCTTGCACGCAACTATTAAGCAGCAAATGACATCATTTGACGTCATTTTGAAGTTTATGACGTCATTAAATGGCAAAATGACATTTATGATATCATTAAATGTCAAAATGACATATACTTGCTATCTGGGTACTGATGGATTCTCTTCTAGGAGTATCAGTAGTTACAAAGAATTATGTCATAATATGTGCAGGTGGGGCAGTCAACCTCACGGATCAGCATGGGTGCACAGACAAGCATTACATTACTTGAGGGAGGAATTTCAGCCGATTGCTTCGTCCTCGATTCTCCATCAGCTTGATCATGCCCACTTAGCGAACGTATTACAGAGTCATTTTTACAAGCGAGCGAACTTGAAGTACTGCAGGCAGTCCTCAAGTGGGGCGAACACGAATTGGTACGTCGAATGGAGGATCGGGAGCCTAATTTGCTCAGCCATACCGTGCACTCCGTCACCAGGAAGGGTATTAAGAAACGAGATCTCAGCGACATCGAATTACGGGAGATACTCAGCGAACTTTTACCGCTTGTCAGAATAGATCACATATTGCCGCCAAATAGCGAAGCATTAGCACAGGTAATTACGCGTGTTATTTCTTGCAAAATATTTTAAACCATCGAAAAAAAATTATTTTATTAATACACTACATTTTTTTAGGCTATTAGGAGGGGACTGGTTTCAACCCCGCCGAGTCATATGATAGGAGACGAAAGGGATAACTTGCGGGTGAACGCTTGGATAAGGGGCGGAAAAAAGAATGGATTTTTCGTGAGGCCGAGGCTATTCATGCCATATTACGAAGAGATTAAGGTAGTATTGATAATGTTTAAATTTCTAGGAATGTGTATTTGTCGATGTGGTATACGCTGATGAATTGTATTTATTGACTATTGCAGTCCTTGGTGGAAGAACAGATGGTCCAGGAAGCTGATCTAGTGAGATTACGGAGGCCGCGATACGTCGCGGATATACCGGATGCGTTGTACATGGTTGAGGAGAAACCAAGAGCCATGGGTACCGCTGGTGTTGACGTCCTTGCTGCGGCGTTTCCAGGTGTCTATTATCTTATTACTTTCTGAAAAAAATATCCCTCTGCACTAATCTTATGTAAAATGGTTAATTTCAGTTAAATCAGTTGGTTTTTCATATATTGCTTATGATTTACTGAACAAAAAATGTAATAGCTTGAAAGTTGGACAGTTACTGATTGGAATTTAAAATGAAAATGCTTGTAAAATCAGATAATTCTCTGGAAATTTTATAAATAATTTTAGTAGATGAATTTAATTGATGCCCTGCACTAATTTTATATAAAATAATTAATTTCGGTTAAATCAGTTGGGTTTTCCATATATTATAGCTTATGATCTACTGAACAAAAGATATAATAGCTTCAAAGCTAGATAATTACTGATTGTAAATTGGTCAAACATGAAAAACTCGGGCATTGCGAGCTGTTTGATGGACTGTAACTCAATAATTATCCATTATTTAGGTTTTGAGATTATTGATTTTTGTGTTCAGTAGGTCATAAGTTACAATATATGAAAGACAGCTGATTTAACCCAAATTATATAAGATTAGTGCGGGGTACTTCGAAATTGATTATGAAAATTTGCATGGCTATTATTTTATCCAATCTCGACGCTTAACTTTATGATAAGAAAGTAAAAACATTTTAACGATTTTTAATAATGAATAGAAAACATTGGAAAGCGCATATAAATTATTTTAAAAAGCTGTATCTATCAATTTTCTTATTTTATGTGTAATTTTAAATAAAAATTCTTATAAAATCAATTGAGTAGATAGATGAATTTAATTAATAATTGATGGAAAAACTTGTGATTGATTGCGTTATAGTGCCAGATTCTGCAACGATGGCTGCTATGCTAAAGCGAGAGCAGAAATTGAAGCAATCGCCGAGCTGTCAACGAGCTATAAGCTTACCACTTTCCTCGCGACACGAAATAAATCGGCAAGTGCGATTGCGCGTTGTCAGAGAATTCAACCTACCCGACACCGTAGCCGATCTTCTGGAGGTGAGTAATTTCTAATTTCGGGTAATTTATATAGTAATTTATAACAATAGTAGTTTGAATAATATGAGTAAACACATGTATGTAAATATTTGCTGCTTTATTATACTATATATATATATATAGTCTCATTTAATAGTCATATAAAATACTACCTTATAATTTACAATATTTACACGTTAACGTGAACAAATTTTCTACTTTATGTCTGAACGAGAGGCAAAATGCGGCGAATATTGATCGTATTTTTAGCCTCGTGACAAATAAATTGCTCTAATAATTTTTACATCATCTTAGCAATTACTGACTTAATTCTCTCACTAGTTTTGGTCCTAATATCGTCTTAAAAATAGAATTTTCTCATCGTCTACATTTATATACAACTTTACAAATACGTTCGCATAAGATACTTGTCAATTTTCTTTACTACTTATTGTCATTATAACATTATTTGGCGACAATGATTTCGGCTAACACAGAACGTTCTCTCTTCGCTAAAAGGACTGATCTTATTTGATCTTTTGCACAAGTATATCCTTCCACTCTTCATCATTTCACGAGCCATCCCTTCCGATCGAACACAGACAAGACGTGTAGCATTTTTCGCTTGTAATTCTCGTCGTCGATGCCGCCCTTGAAGACGTCCTTGTCCGCCGTGTCGGTGGATTCGGTGACGGAGCCGCGTGCAGCCTGAATCACCTGCACCATCATGATACACTGCTTGAACCTGATGGGCGCACACTGATTCAGCTGCTGCAGAAACTGACTCTTGGGGAATAGGTTCGCGCTGACGCCCAGCGATTCCAAGCACTCGACGAAGGAGTCGTAGTACAGGTCGATCATGTTGTCGAGATGTTCGTCGAGCACCTCCTCCCGGGCGCTTGACATTAGGAAGAATATGAGATCGTGCACCCCGTAGTCGTAGACCGTCAATTGAAAGTCCACGATCTTCATGTCGATCGGCCGGCCCGTCGACTCGTCGTACTTGAACAGCATGTTGTTCACCCAGAAATCGTTGTGCACCAACGTCGTCCAGGGCTCTCTGGGCGTTAAAGTGACTCGCGTCGCGTACTCGAGCGTCTTCTGGATCCTGTCCAGATAAGGCTCCGCTTTTTTCATGCTTTTGTAATCGTTGTGGGCCTTCTGCACCATGTCCACGACGCAGTCCTTCGCGTCCTCATTTACGGAGTACTCGAGGACGGGCAGGATCGCCTTCTCGAAGAGTCCAGGTTTCTTCAGCTTTAGGCCGATCGTGGTGGCGTGCAACTTAGCCAGGTGATCGATCGCGAAGTCCATGTGCATCTTGTCCAGGCCGCGGATGCGATCCTGGGTCGTGTAATGGTTCTCCTTTAGGTTCTCCAGGATAATCGCGGCCTGCTCGTCGAAGCACCGCGGATCCCGCAGACCTAGTCTGCCGCCCAGGAATTGCGGGGTGATGACGCTCAGGGTCTCCTGGGGGATTCCGCTCTCGTTCTGTAATCTCGTAAATTCCGGCGCCACCGTGCTGTAGAAGTCCAACTCCTTTTTGAAAGTTATCGGACTGTCAAACAGATCCAGCAGGTATTGGGATCTGGGTGGTAGCTTGACGACCATGTTTAGGGTTCTCTTCTTGCCGCTCTGCTCGGCGTTTACAGTGACGGCTAGTATTTGGCTGCCGAAGTTTTCCCCCGGATCCGTCAGTTGCTTCCACTCCGCGTCGTGTATTTGAAAATCCGGACCATACGTTTGCATCAACAGTGCGTCCAGATTTTTAACTGGAAGCATGCTGGTCGATGATTGCGTCTTCCTAGGAAGAAGAGGTGTTATATTAGCGATTGCCTCAGAAAAATTGAAGATCGAGATTATTAAACAGGATGTCTCAGAATTAATGGATCATTTGTTAATGGAAGATTCCTGGGAGACGATTTTTCCTTAGCGAAAATGTTGAGAAACCCATCATTTTTTGCTTGTTCCTAATTTTTGCCAAAATGTATCTTTATGACTAAGTTTTAAATTAAAATTCTATTAAAGTGAAAGTTCTACTTGGAAATTAATTGAAGAATGTAGTTTTGTTTATATCTTATTTCCGCAAAGCTTAGTTTGTGAAAATCCCTTTATTTTGATTGTTTACCTACCTAACATAATTTACTTTACTTAACTCGAAAATTACATTGTTCAACAAAAAAAACACCGGCACGAAACTAGTCGTTTCTTATAGGTTTTTGAACGCTAAACACGAATTCATCACGTGACAATTTTAAGAGACATGCAATTAAAGTTACAAAAAAGAGCTATTTTCACGAACTTTGTCATATTATAGCTACAATAATTAAAGCGACATGCTAAAAAAGTTTTCTTGCCACCAAAATAAAGTATATTGTTTGAACTTTTAATCCTCAATAGGAATTTTCGATATCAGTTTTGGTTCATAAGATATCCATAGTTGAATAGGGGATATTGCAGAAATTAACTGCCTAAATAACTGACTTACTTAGGTTGACGAGTTACAAAAAGTTTTAAATTATGTTTACTTATTCAAAGGTCTTTTAAGTCACTGAATACGAATCCAATATCAAAATTGTCAAAATGGTGAACTCAATATGGTGGATTAAAAAAAAAATATTATTTTTTATTTTTACATACCCCATATTGAGTATCATTTTGAACTTGACAATTTTAACATTGATTTCGTATTCAATGACCTAAAAGATCTTTAAAAATAAATAAACATAATATAAAACTGTTTGTAACTTGTCAACTTAAATATGTGACGTGATGGAGCAATTTTGAAGACAAATTTGTGTTCAATCAGTGTCCAAAGAACTATAAAAAATGACTAGTCTCGTTCCGGTGTTCGAAAATAAAGTCATTTTTTAAACAGTGTTATTGGCAGCTCGAGGAAAAATCAGTTTTAAATGATTCTAAAAATCTACCATTAATAAGTGATCCGCTAATTTTGGGTCATCCTATATACACATATTATAAAATAATCGACATACATTGTACGTGGAAATTGGAATTTCGAGTTTTCTTTGGCACAAAATGGACGTTATTTGGTTGTCAGTATCTCTAGGACCTCCAGTTAAGCTGTAAAATAAATTTCTCTTAAACTGAAAGTTGTTTAAAGTTATCTACATAATGCTATTATTTACAAATTTTATTTTTAAAAATCTTTAATCCTTAAGACCCCTTTGTAATTAATCGACGAAAAGAATAGTTTTTGACGTATTTTACAAGTGTACTTAAATCATCTGAAATAGTGTTTCATTGAAATATTTTTTATTTAAAAATGGCATCTAAGAATTTTCAGCGTGATAGGTATAAGATGAATTGAATTTCAGAATTGATAGAACTCGTCGAACAAAAACAACAAAAAATATTAATAAATAACGTACGTCCTAAAACTAAAATTTTAAATATTCAATATTTTAATTTATTTAAACATATGTATTAGAAAATGACATTTCCAAAATTCAAACGTATATTTAACAAAAAGTTGTTATAAATAATTAGTAAAATTGTCATTGGATCGCGGCGGAGATCATATATTCTACAATTTGTTTTGAATAAGTGAAATTATTATTGTGTTATGTTGTGAATTTGTATCAAGATAAACTCTCGTTAACTTTAATCTAAACAACAATTTAATAATAGTTGTAAATCAATGTTTTTCGTAAATTTTGAATTTTATGCTTTATTTAGTATCGAAAAATTCTATTAAAATTTGAATTCAACGCAAACAAATGGTCGTAATTTTATGCATTTTCGATTTTCACGAATTTTGATATATGAAAATATACAACAGATATATGATATATGAAACATACAAAAAAGACTTTTTATTTATAAATTTAAAAAAAACCAATACATTTTTCTCTATAAAGTTCTTTCAATTTTCGAACATGCATTTAATAACATTTTAATTTTTTAAAATAAATTTTACCAATTTACTTACACCCAGAATGAAAACTTCGAATATCGTATAGATACGTTCGTGACACGAATCGGTTTGTAAAAAAAAAAAAAAAAATCTCACTTTATCATTACACTGCACAATTGACTTATTATCGATATAGACATGTATGTATTTTTCATTGGGCAACGTATCACTCGTGTATCCAAGTCTGAACTGTCATCGTGACGAAGTGTCGCGTTATTTTATATGTATACCACGAAGAGAGAGAATTGTTTATCAAAAACTGTCGTTCGCGCGACTATGATTCTTCATGCAAATGCATCTTGTAGATAAGCATTTTCCTTATCGTCTCTCGGAAGATTACGTATAAAATAAATTGCAAAGTGTAAGTATAATGTGCGCATAAAAAACTGTGTATGAGAATATATATATAAAAAAAAGAGAAAAAACGGAACGACTTGATAACGACCCGATTTTATAGAATGAATGACGTGGTGGTTCTAGAAGTCATTATTTGCAATGCACTTATACGTGGATGCAATTGTGCACCGTATCGATAAAAATGCGCGATGCATTAATTAAGTCCGGTATCGCGGGCAATAAATAAAGTGCATGATTTTATTTATAGTGCGATAAACTTCGACTGTTGTGAGATAAATGTTGCAGAAGTACAAAATTGATGTGTGTCCGTGACACTAAATTCTTTCTGAATAAACGCGAATTTTTAATTACGCAACAATTAAACGAGCAATTGCGACTTTATTAATGTCACGGTCATTCGGATTCGTCAAGTCTGTAAGACTGTCATTTATTATACAGTTAATGTTCTTTTTTTCTATAACATCTATTTTTTTCAAGATTGAGAAGTAACTCGTTACTTGTAACAAAGTTACAATTACAGTTATATTTTTTTGGTAACTATAACTTTGTTCCTTTTTCTGCACTTATAACTGTAACTTAACTTACAATTAGTTACATTTTTGTGGTAATTTAATAGTTACTTTTTAATAGTTAATTTATTTAAAACTTAGGGCTAACAACTTTTCGGAAAGTTACGACTGTCTAAAATTTTATGAATTTTTTAATTAAAAAATCTGAATCCCATATAATTTTTATTCTTAGTATAAATAATATTAATTATTGTGTTAAAAGAAGTTAACTTATTACAAATTATTAATTTAATATATTAAATATATTTTTATTTTCAATTTAAAACAGTTGTAAGTTATTACATACAAAATAATATAGCACATAATCAAGTAATATATATGTAGTTTAGTAAAGCTTAAAACACACATATAAGATTATTATACGTATTTAAAATATAATAGTCATCGCAGAAAAGTAACGCATATTTGTAGATGATCACATTCCGATCTGATCAAAAGTTCTAATAAAAAATTGAATAGGGGTTGTTAGTTTCATCCTCTTATAATGATACGGGAAGATTAAAAAATATTAATAAATATACTTTTTGTGGAAATTAGTGAAAAATTCATCAATTTTCATTATTTAACTTATCCAAATTTGAGAAAAAAATAAAAACCTAATTAAATCTCTCTTAATTAAAAAAAAATTATTTCCTAAAGTTTTTCTGATTTATTTAGAAAACATCCTGTATATAGTATAATAGTTAAAAGTTAATAGTCATTCTCTCAAGATTGTGTAATCCGTTGTTAGCGAGATGTATTCGATTAACCTTAGTATAACCTTGTATAATTGCTTGTGAATGACTTTCCGTAACATATATGTGATATTTTATTATTTTTAATAATAAGTGCGCGTTTATTTTCGAAAATTATTTGCGAACAGGGATGCTTAGATAGCCATTTCTTCAGTATAAAATACAGATTTTTTATCATTACTTTCTTTTTTCTCCAAAATTTTCGCGATATAAATTATTTTTTGCTAATAAAAGGGGGAAAAAATTCTATGAGAGATTAATTAATTAATAAAAATTGATATAACTTGTAAATGATCGATATGTCTCGTTAAAATGTATAAATTTAAAAATTTTGTTATTTGATGTTAAAATTATCACTTAGCTTTTTGAGCATATTTTTTTATATGAAATACTTAAAATAAATAAATAAATATATCTGGAAATGCGTTGAACTGACGGATGATCAAGTGGAAATGCATATTATGAATATTGAATGTCTTTGACAAACTCGTATCTCTATATGTATATATTGAGAATTTAATAAAAGACATTTAATATGCATCATATGCATTTCCAGTTGATAATTAATCTATATCAGTTTGACGCATTTCCAGATATTTTTCCTCGTCTTGTTATTCATGACAAAGTAAATAAATAATTAATCTCCGGAAGATCACTATATCGATACACTATCGGTAATTCCCTCTTAATGATTATTAAGTTACTGGAAGATAATTGCAGCCGACAAGAGAAATTACATCAAGAGACAACAAACACAAAAAAGGGGAAAACCGCTTGAGGCAATTTTTCACATACCGATAAATATCGTAAATTGTTGGCGCTTCTTCTGCATATTATCGTGATATATGTAACATAATAATTGGCCAGTAATCACGTAACCTACATGAATCTTAACACGGAAGCTGTTTTGCATTGGATTACGCGTTCTTCCAGGTTCTCATCTCACAAAAACCACATTGATGTTAGATACGTAATGTTACTTAACTTTTACACCTCGTTTCGGTGCATTAACTGTTACTTTACACAGGATACCCCTGATCTTTTGCTTTCGCTACTTTCTTCTATCTATGGATTCCTTAATCAATTTAATATTGATCCTTGGCTCGATAATTTTACTGTGTGTAATCTCCTTTGGGTATAATTTTTTATTAATTATTTTAATATTAATATAAATCAATCAAAATTAATATTGGACGCTAGTGGTGAAAATAAACTTGGCAAAAGTGATTTTGACGTAACTAGCAATTTTATTCAATACTTTCACGACGTTTCGACCATTTGGTTGTGGTCCTTATCAAGTGAGAATTCCATCAATTAAAATGAGATTAACGCAATATAAAACCGATCTTATTTAAAATTAATAGTTAAAAGAGGAAACACGTCTCATCGCTATGATGTTTCGTCAACGACGGTATTGAATAAAATTGCTAGTTACGTCGAAATCAATTTTGCCAAGTTTATTAATATAAATATTATTAAATTATTTAATATAAAATTAATAGAAATATTATATAATTAATGTAAAATTATTGAGTGTATGTTTAACCGGCGTTCGTGCACAGTGTAAAGTTATGACTGAATTATTACTCTAGTTCGTTCCTTTCACTGGTTGGCATGATCGAATCTAAGATCTTTATCATCATTTAATAGTCTGAAGAGGACCCGATATAGCGGTCGAAACGTTGCTAATAAATTAAATTCAACACCTTAGCCAGTTGGTCGATTTAATTCTCTCTTATCAACCTTGATATAAAATTAATATAAATATTATATAATTAATATTAAATTAATTAATATTAATATTAAATAAATATTATTAAATTAATTAATATTAAATTAATTAATATAAATATAATTAAATATTAAATATTAATTCTTCTATGGGTTTCTATGGGTCTTCTATGGGCTTCTATGGGTTCTCGCGGAGGCCATCTTAAATTGTGACATCAGAGGCAAGAAAGCACACGTCGAAAATTCTTAGATGCTATTTCGAAATAAAAGAATATTTCGATGAAACAGCACTTCAGATGTTTCAAACATTTTACAGCTGTTGATTGATTATAAAGGGAAAAGAATAGTTTTCGATGTATTTTAAAAGTGTGTTAAAGCTATATGGAATTGTTCATGGACATATCTTTCGCCTCTGACGTTCAACATGATTGACGAGGCGTTGGGAACCTTAATAATTTATGTATTTTATTAATATAAATAATTTACACATTTTATTAATAATTTAATTAAATTTAATATTGATAATTTAAAAATATTTAATAATATTAAAAATTAATTAAATTTCTTTTTCTAATCGCATATAAATCTTCTTAAATTATAATTCTATAATTCTAATTATGAGAGAATAGTGTAGTATTTTCTGCAACAACAATTTTTAACATATACAGCTGATAATTTTACTTTGCGTAATCTCCTTTCGATATTTATTATCAAATATTTTTCTAATCGTTCTGTAGACTCGGTCTCGTACTATACTATCTTATTATAATTAGATTTTAATTCTTAGCTAGATAATTTAACTTCGCGGATCTAATCTTCTTTGGATATGATTCATTATTTAGAATTTTTCGGAATTTTAATTATATAATAAGATAGCATGTATTTTCCCTAACTGTAATTTTTGACGAATACAGCTGATATATCGTCTATGTATATATTTTTCCGGATATAATTAAACAAAATTTATTACGCAGTAAGCGATAGAAATTATCACGCTTTTTCGTTTATAACATATAATTAGTACTATCTGATCGGGCTATCTCTACAATTATTATTATCGTCGTTGAAAGGAAAACGAAAACTTCGCGATCGGTATTTCCCGCAAACACTTTCCTCTTGATTACATAATCAAGGATTTTGATTGGTTTTATTAATTCTTCTTTAATCGATTTCCTTGTTGCATCATTATCGTCGTCGCACGTGCATAAATGACTGCGATCGCGAAATGACACAATGGCAACCGTAACAATAAACAGATGTCGCGAATTAATTCTAATCGTATCTGGGGGAAGACTTGCGCATGCAAAACACGACCACGCGCGCGCACACACATACACACATACACACCAACACATGGCAAGTTTGACGTAGAGTTGAGAACTTGGAGACGTGTTTAGCGTTCGGAATGTCTTAATACCTCTCTGCACCATTGATAATATGCTAATTTTTCCTCATGGATTTGTAGAGCTTATATCATAATTTTATATAAAAATAAATACCAAATCGTGTTAATTTATATGTTTAAATTTAATAGATTTCGGATTTTTAAAATTATATAATATTCGTGTGAGCTTTATAAAGAATTTTCCATATATGATTACTAATAATTAAACAAAACTATTTACATAATGACGGAGTAGATCAATATTAAGGTTATTAAGGCTCCTAGGTCCTTGCCGCGGCCATGTTAGATTATGACGTCAGAGGCGAGAAGCCTTAAGAATGGGATGAAGTACAATATGTACTTAAAACTAGGAGTCGAATTCAATTAATCGTTTTACTTGCTTGCTACTTACAAGAAATAATAATTCATATCTTGCGAAGTAATAATTTTTTAAAGCAATTATAAAGAATTCTAAATTATACATATAAATATAATTGAACTTATTTGTATGATATTTAATGTCATCGTCAATTAAGTTTTCCCAAAATTAAAAATATCTATTTGAAGTCGTGCGAAATTTTGACGTGAAATTATTTATGTAATAATTTTATTGACCAGTATATATACAGGGTGTCCCAAAAATCTTGCAACAGTTAAATATCTCGAAAATAAAGGCTTTCTGAGGAAAATGTTTAAATTAAAGTTATAGAGCTATTAGTGTGACTATAAATAGCATTGTGTGAAGGCCACGTAAAATTTACTTTGAAATTTTAAAGTCCTTATTTTTGATTACATATTTATGTAGCTTATCTTAAGAACTTTTTAAAACATTATAATAAAGTTTTTTTCCGTCAACAATAAGTATTTTTCGAATTATGAGGTTTAAAAGATATAGTATTTTGACATAAAATACAAAATATTTTGTAAAACATTCAATTTTTTGTAATCTTATCTTAATATTTTAATTATATTTATAACCTTATATATTAATAACCTATTGTTTATACACAGAATAATGAGAGAAAAAATATATTGCAAATTATATACATTTTCTTAAAAATAACTACGCGTTTTTTTACACTAATTGATTTGTCTAATTATTTTATGTATAAAAGTATTAAAATAAGAGTATCGAAAACTAAATATTATAC